ACGGACACACGGACGGACACAGGGACACACGGACACACGGACACAAGGACAGATAGAGGGACACAGGGGCACCGGGACACACCAATGGACACACGGACAGGCAGACGGACACAGGGACACGGGGACAGACAGAGGGACAGACGGACACAGGGACGGACAGACACACGGACAGACAGACGGACACACGGACACACCAGTGGACACACGGACACACAGAGAGAGGGACAGACAGAGGGACACAGGGACGGACAGACAGACACAGGAACAGACAGACGGACACACACAGGGACACACGGACACAGGGACACAGGGACACACGGACACGCGGATGGACACATGGACACACGGACACATGGACAGAGGGACGCACCCATGGACACACGGACAGAGGGACACATGGACAGAGGGACACACGGACAGAGGGACAGACGGACACACGGACACACACACACACGGATGGACACACCCATGGACACACGGACACACCGACAGACACACGGACACAGGGACGGACAGACGGACACAGGGACATGCGGATGGACACACGGACACACGGACAGACAGAGGGACACACGGACAGAGGGACACCAATGGACAGAGGGATACACGGACACACAGACATAGAGACGGACACATGGACACACGGACGGACACACAGACATAGAGAGGGACACACGGACACACGGACACACGGACACACGGACACACGGACGGACACACGGACACACGGATGGACACACGGACATACAGAGGGACGGACACACGGATGGACACACGGACAGAGGGACGGACGGGATGAGGGATGGAAGAACAGAGGGAATTCGGGGAGAAAGAAGAAGAATTTGGGATCACGGAATATTCCAGAGGGGGAAAAAAAAAAAACCAGCGGGAATTTGGGATCAAGGGGTGTTCGGGATGAAATAGGAGGAATTTGGGATCCTGGGATTTTTGGGATAAAAGAGGAGGAATTTGGGATCGAGGGATTTTTGGAATTTTGGGATCATGGTATTTTTCGGATGCAAGAGCAGGAATTTGGGATTTTGGGATTTTTGGGATTCAAGAACAGGAATTTGGGATCCTGGGATTTCTGGGATTCAAGAGCAGGAATTTGGGATCGTGGGATTTTTGGAATTTTGGGATCCTGGTATTTTTGGGATGCAAGAGCAGGAATTTGGGATCCTGGGATTTTTGGGATGGAAGGGGAGGAATTTGGGATCGTGGGATTTTTGGAATTTTGGGATCATGGTATTTTTGGGCTGCAAGAGCAGGAATTTAGGAATCCAGGATTTTTGGGATTCAAAACCAGGAATTTGGAATCCTGGGATTTTTGGGATTCAAGAACAGGAATTTGGGATCCTGGGATTTTTGGAATTTTGGGATCCTGGTATTTTTGGGATTCAAGACCAGGAATTTGGGATCCTGGGATTTTTGGGATGGAAGGGGAAGAATTTGGGATCATGGGATTTTTGGGATTCAAGAACAGGAATTTGGGATCCTGGGATTTTTGGAATTTTGGGATCCTGGGATTTTTGGGATGCAAGAGCAGGAATTTGGGATCCTGGGATTTTTGGGATGGAAGGGGAGGAATTTGGGATCCTGGGATTTTTGGGATGGAAGGGGAGGAATTTGGGATCCTGGGATTTTTGGAATTTTGGGATCCTGGTATTTTTGGGATGCAAGACCAGGAATTTGGGATCCTGGGATTTTTGGGATTCAAGGGGAAGAATTTGGGATCCCGGGATTTTTGGGATAAAAGAGGAGGAATTTGGGATCGTGGGATTTTTGGAATTTTGGGATCATGGTATTTTTGGGATGCAAGAGCAGGAATTTGGGATTTTGGGATTTTTGGGATTCAAGAACAGGAATTTGGGATCCTGGGATTTTTGGGAT